ATATATATATATACATAGGTATACATATTTATATATATATATACATACATATCTACATATATATATATATATATGTATACAGAGTATACAAAGAATATAGGCCTAACTAGGGGTAATTGCCTTCAACCCTTAAACCCTATAAACCCGGAATCTATTAAAGGTGCTCCCCCGCCCAAATGGGCTCGCTGCAGGCAGCCGAGATTCGTCAGACCTGGCTGAGAGGTTGGGGTTGGGCCAGAGGTTGTTTGGCTTGGGTGGGTATATAGCTCGGGCTACATAGGGCTTCACTTGTTTGTTTAGGATTAGCTGGTAAGTTTGTATTCCGGGCCCGAAGGCTCGCTCTGGGGCTGCACGCAACCCTTGGTTCAATTCGTGCATCTAAAAGGGCCATCCTGCCTGTCAGAAATTTAATGACATTTACTGGTTCACATAGCTAGAATAGGTGCCTCGGTGTTGGATGATTCTACAGCGAGATTGCAAAGTGCCGGCAGTATCTGGGTTCCAACAAGGCTGCTTTTATAGCCTTTTCGAAAAGGTTTAGCATTTCGGCTGATTTCGGCGGTTTCGGAGACTGTGGGTTGTGATGTTTTTTGGCGGGTGTACTACGGGTGTACTTTCGCATTTGTTGGGTATGGATCTTTTCCAAGCAGGTACTCTCATCCTTAAAAATTATGTTTTTTCGCAGACCACTCAAGGCCGTAACCGTATCCCAACAAAATGTTGACATTTTGTTGGGATTTATCGGGATAGGGAGGTGCCAAGCCGAAACCGTAATGAGCCGTAAAAAAACCGTAGGCCGTAGCGAAAGCGTAAAATCCCAATAAAAACCCAACAAAAAGCCGTAAAAAGCCGTAGTGCTATCCCAATAAAAACCCAACAAGAGGCCGTAAGAGGTCACATTTTCCAAAGAGGTCACTTTTTCCAAAGTGCATCCCGCTTTAGACTAGACCACTTTGAGGTGTGCAGACTGCAACTCATGTGCTCTGGCGATGTCTGTGATCAAGCAGATCGAAGCCCTTGTGTTGTGGTGCCACGGCTTGCTTAGTGCTTTAGGATGGTGAGGGCCAATAAAAAAGGCTCGCCGCCCATGGCTCCTGCAGTGCTATGCAAGAAGGAGGTTTCTCAAGAGACCATGGAAACCGAGTTTAAGGACACCCCCACACTTGCCACATGTGTATATTTGAGCCCCAGCGAATCTCCAATATGCATATATCTAAGACTCTTGCAGGACCTGGAGAACATGCTCGGGGAGCTGGGGAGCCCGGCTGGTAACATCACGCCGAAGCCGAAGCGGAGGCGAGCTTCAACCTCCGAGCGAGTTCCATGGCTTCACGGGCTGGCTTGTTCCTAAGGCCTTAATTAATTAAACCCAAACCACCAAAACTTTCAAAACCCCTAAAGCAAGCTTCAACCCTAAAGCCAGGAATCCCCAAAGCCCAAATCCCCGAAGCAACAAAGCACTACAGCTAATCATGAAGCCCCATATACACCTGCCTTATTCTAAGCCCCCGAGAGCAAAACCCTCCGAATCCTTGAAGCTCTGCAAAAGGGTGTTGGGGCTGTATCTAGCTAGCCCAGGTGGGGCTTGTTGGTCATGCACAAGGCGATGACCGCTTCGCCCCGCAGAGCTTGCAGAAGCGGTTTGATGCAGTGGGAAATGATGGTGATGTTGGGTCTACTGCCTCCCGAACCCCCCTGACTGACAGCCTCTTTCCCCCGACACAGCCCGACAACCCGGCTGAAGAATACTCCCCTAGTGCCTCCCACCAGCACCAGACACGGGCACCGAAAGCACCTTCCCAGGGCAAGGACTGCCTTGAGTCTAGGGTCTTTTGGGTTATCTCTGTAAGATGAACTTAGGTTATGTGTCGGTTTTTATGTGTCATTCTAAATCTATACATATATTTGTGTGTGTATACCTAGATAGACAGGTAGACAGGTATTGGCATATGTGTCTGTGTGCTTCAACTACATTTATTTGTATATACACATGCATGCATTCATGCACACATACATACATATGTACACACACAAACCGCTGCAACCTAGAAGCCCCGACCTGACCCCTGACCCCACCCCTAAAAACATAGTCTCTGATCCATCCCGCAGAGTCCATTGATGCCATGCATCTATGTAAGTCTGGATGCATGCATGCATGGTTGTGCTTGTATATGCAGGTAAGTGTGTGTGTGTGTGTGCAGGTATGTATGTGTGTGCATGTATGCATTATGTCTGTAGTATGTATGTGTGTGGGTAGGTAGGTATGTATGTGTGTACGTGTGCATGCATCCCATCTTATTCTCGCTCTCTCTCTCTTTCCCTCGCACTGTGTAGGACCGGGCGACGACGAACGCCCCAAGCCCTCCTGGTGGTGCCGGGGGCGACCCGGATTCCGATGACGAGCTCCTTGCTCAGGAGAAGGCGAACTTGGAAGAGCAGCTCGCAAAGATCAATGCTCGGCTCCAGGACCGGAAGCGAGTGGCCAAGGATGAGCCGAAAGAGTCTGAGACCCGAAGAAAGTCGCAGAGAAGAAGCCCGAAGCCCGCTGGGGCAAGCCCCCCAAAGACGGCAAGCCCCCCAAAGCCAACCCTTCGTCGGCACCTGGCGACCTCTTCCCTCAGCCTCGGTGGTAGCTCTCAAAGGCCATCGCCCTCAACTGCCCCGCCGAAGCCATCGACTCGCCCAGACAGGCCTGTGGCAGCACCTTTGCGAGTTGGTGGGAGGGTGCAGCCATTTCGATCAAACTCGTGCCGTTCGGTGGCATCCTCTTTGGTGGCTCCTTCGGCTGAGGAGCCCGAGGAGGACGAGGAGGAGTTCGAGGACCAGGACGAGGTTGAGAGCGAGGAGGAGCTGGCGAGTGGCAAGTACGGTAGGGTCTACGACCCCAAGACCGGCAAGGCCTCTTGGTGTTACACCCTAGGTGCTCGCAACTCTTTCTCTGTCTCTATCTATCTATCTATCTATCTATCTATCTATCTATCTCTCTCTCTCTCTCTCTCACCTAATGTCCAACAGCCCGTATTAAGCTTGCCGGTGATCGGTCGTTTGTGTCAGTGTGTCTGTCTTTTTTCGATTTATGAACATGCATAGATAGATCCCTCACTCTCTTTATGGGCTTATTGTATCTTTTATTTTTCTCTAGAAGTAATACTATGATATACATATATATATATATATTCTTTTATGTGTACACATATTTGTGTGGGTTTATGTGTGCACATGTATATACGGGGATTCGGGTGCCTGTGTATTTATCTGTATAAATACAGTATACCTCCCCCATATAACACATATATATATACACACACATGTACTTTCGAAGCTTGTTCTTGCTGATCTAGGAACATAATTCGTATGAGCGAGGTTCTTTCCGAAGCCGCCATCGACCAACGTGTTCGCCGAGCTTGCACTAACGGCAAGAAGAAGAAGGCCACCGGAGGCACCAAGGCTGTGGAGATGTACAAGACTCTCGACACTCGAGACGAGTTGGCGAAAATGCTCATCGAAGCTGAGTTTTGCACAGCCCCTTAGCCCGTTTCATCATGGACTTGAATTGGTCGATGAGTCTGTGGTGTCCGCATGAAACCCAATTAAGGCTGCTTTCAAACGGAATATCACCAAGTACACGGAAAAGAAGCACACGAAGAAGACCGACACAATTGCCGGTTGGTACACCGAGCGAGCGATGTCTGTGCAACTGAAACTCACCGAGTCCTGCCCTTAGGGATTCCTTCGCAGCAAACGGAGCTTGTCCATCCCAAAGCAGTGCCACTTCTCTCAGGGAAGAAATCAAGGAGATTGTCGAGTACACCAGCACCCGACCTTCTTTGAGGAGGCGGGCTGCACGCACACAACATAATGATATAAAGGGGTGTGTGTGTGTGTGTGTCTCTTGCATGTGTCGAGGAAGTACAAGTACAATGCCAAGAAGTTTCAGCATTGGGTTGACAAAGAGTCGATTGGTGTCGACTCATCAGAGACGATCAAGGGCACACGAAAGGAAGTGAGCACCAACGGCAAAGAGCTTCCCGCCGAAGCTGATGGTGAGATTTCGGACTTTCCCGATGAAAAATCCGGCGACGAGCCGGGGCCGACCGACAAGAAAAACACGCAGGAGGATGTGAAGGGTCGCATGAAATTGAATCTTCTCTCTCGCTCTCTCGCTGTGTCTATCTCTATCTTCCTCTATATATATATATATATATTATCTGTACATATTTATTTATGTGTTGATAAAGATATATGTATATATGTATATCTATATTTATTCATTTCTATGTACATGCATATACTATACACATATAGGGCCTTTACGTCTTGCAAACCTGTGCTCAATACCCCGCAGGACCTCTCCGAGAAGGTCGAGAAAACGATGAGTGACCTGTTGCCCCCCATCGCCAAGATGCACGAACTTTCCGAGAAGTTCAGGAAGCCCTACAACACGGATCCGAAGCCCACCGACGCAAGGTTTCTTGTAAAGCATTTTCCGGTGGTAGCCGCACGACTGTCGAGTTTTAGGGTGCCGGTGCTGTTCGATTACCGATGTGTGCTCAGGCACGCAAGCGAGCTTGACCGAATGGCTAGCAACATGGAGGGAGTCTACGATTCGTTGGCCGAGCTTCTGGCGAGCCTGAGTGCAGAGGGCGAATCTGCTGATCTGTCGTGCCGTGCTTGCAATAAAACACGATTGTTTTCGGGCTTCGCGACCCAATGCTGTTTTCAACACTCAGGGCCAAGCTGCAGGCTTGCATCAAGAAGGCCACGGTTCTGCACCCCGGCTCAAATCTCTCTGTCTCTCTCATTATCTCCGTCTCACTCCGTCTCCCTTTCTTCTTGTTGTTTACTGCCTAATTCTTGTCATCTCTCTCTGTGTCTATAGTCAGTTCGCTTATATGTAAGCCAAGGATTGCCAAAGCAGCTTCGAAAGCATCTGCCTGCCAGCGTGGATCTTACATGTAGAGACTCTATACCCTTCGAGCTACAATTATCAGAAACTCCCGCAGACCCGTGATGAGGCCCCACATCCGTGACATCGACAAGTTGAAGAAGGCTGCTACGAAATCCAAGGTTCCTGTTCCAGGCCCTAAGCATGCGGCCAAATGTGCTGCCAAAGGCAAGCCGAAGAAGAAGTGAAGCAGCATTTTGCTGCTGATGATATGTTCCATGTGAAGTGATGTTTTACTGTCTGTGCCACCTAGCAGATGATGTTGGCATGCGAGATCCTATGCAGCAAGTCATCAGCACAGCTCTGCAATGCATGGGCACTAGAACGTATTGATATGTTAGCTGTCTGCTGCATGGGTGCATGCAAGTCGTCGATCGGGCCTAAGGGGAGGCCTTGTGGCTGCTGGGGAAGAAAAACCGCAGTGCACCCGAAGCCCTCGAATTGTTCTATCTTGTAAACCCCTAATTATGCACAAATCCCCAAAAGCCAGGTCAAGAGCTGCAGCGCCTGAATGTGGCGAGGTCGCTGTCGCGAGGGGCTCCACGGCGAATCGTGGGATCGCTGGGAGGTTGGCTTGGTTGAGGATGGGTTTCGGGTTTCTAATATTTCTTATACATGGTTAGATAGCCTGTAACGGGGTACAATAAGATTGAATATATTTCTCATAGGTCGGAGAGCTCTTCCAGAGTTGACATGGCTTTCTAAGCATTCTAAGATTCTGCATAGTCAAATTAGAGTAATTAGTTTCGTAGAAGTTAGGACCGAGGTTGGGGTTGTTAATACTTGGTTTGAGGCTTTGGAGGAATTGCTTTTTTGTGTTATTGAACTTAAAGTATCCTGACTTAGTTTTTCCGGTAGTTATCCTTATGGCCCCCGATGACTATCATACTTGGGTAGCACTCCCCAGAATTCACTTAGCCACCCCTTCCTAGATCCCCAAACCCTTTCGTAAGTGTACCAAGTTCCTCCGATATATCATTACATAGAAGGAATCACTAAACAATCCCTACCCAAGGCAACTGGAGAGAGCATCTGGACCGATGCTAAATCACGCTTGGAAGAGCCGAACCCACCTTCTGCGAAATCGATTTATGCTAAGCTTGCCAAAGGAAGCAAGCATCGAGCTGAGAAGAATGCCTTTCGAGAGCCTCTTGGTACAAGTAGGTCCTTTCTATTGCTTTGGTTTTTCTTGGTTGGAAAGAATCTGAAGAATGATTTTGCATCTCTGAGCATCATAAATTGCAGGTTGCAGCAACACGGACATTCTCTGCAAGTAAACATAGATTTCCTTGAAGTTTCTACAAGAACTGGCATTAAACAGATTCCGTGGTTGGACCCATACGAAATGGTCTCTTGCCTTGCCCGTGATAATAAGCTCATCTTTCTACATGGCGGCAACAACTTGTTGGAGTGGTGGCGACGGTTTGCCAAAGTCGAGCCTGGGCATCGGGTTTTCGCAGCTGCTGCTCGTGGAGAGATTTCTCTTCAGAGAACGATTCCGTTCTTTTCCCACGGAGACGAGGGCCGGGGGAAAAAGAAGAAGGGCATATTGATATGGTCGCTTCATGGATGTGTGGGCTTCGGCACACGACAGTTCCGAGCAATGCACTCCGAGGTTGAGCAGTGCAACCGAATGGGTCTCAACATGTCTGGTAGTATGTCTTCCAGGTTTCTTCATGTTGCAGTTCCGAAGTCTGTGTACGGAAAGAATGCCGAACTTGTCTGGGATGCAATTGGCTGCAATATTGCTACATCGTATAAGCGACTTGAAGAAAAGGGTTTTCTGGATGCTGATGGAAAGCAATATCATGCTGTTTGTGTTGGTCTTACTGGAGACAACCCGTTTTTATCTAAGATCGGCCACCTAGAGCGATCTTTCGCCCGGGTGGCAAAAAAGAGTGGCGATGATGTTTCCCACGGAATCTGCTGGAGATGCTTGGCGGGAACAGCTAACATCCCGTTTGAAAACCTGAATTTTAATCCAGAGTGGTCTTTCACGGAAGACGAAGCTTTGCCTTGGTCGCAACTGCCGCCTTTTTTAGAAGGGCTAGGCTTTGAGAAGAACGATTCGAAAGCTCCACGATTTCTGGAGTTCGATATCTGGCACAATTTTCACGGAGGAACAGGGAAGCATATTGCAGCTTCGACAGTGGCCGAATTATTACCCAATCTGGATGTGGGATCTATTGACTTCAAATTTGGTATTCTTGCAGAAGCCTATGAAGCCTGGCGAAAGAAGTCAAAACTGACATTGCATATTGGCCACCTTGACCGGGAGCTGTTCGGAATGGAGCAAGGCTACCAAGTTCTTCCGGTTGGATGCTGGAGCAAGTTCGACGACACTCGCATAATGTTGTGTTTTCTGGAAGACTTCTTGCGAGATCGGGCCCTCTATGTTCCAACAGAGATTACTGAGGAGGCCCTCACCTGCATCGCTGCCGCGAATCGGGCTTTCAGGCTGTCTTACCAAGGCGGCTATTGGTTGACTCCCGACGAAGCAACATCGATTGGGCGGTCTGGTTTCCAGTGCTTGCATTCTTATGCGAAACTCGCATTCATGACATTGAAAGAATCAAGAGCACGATATCCAATGATGCCCAAAATCCATTATTTACATCATTGCTGGCGAGATTGTCTCCTTTCAGCACAGACGTCTGCTTGGATCCGAAGTCCTTTAGCGACTTCGGTCCAGATGGATGAGGATTTCGTTGGACACACGTCGAGGTTATCTCGTCGTGTAGGGAGCCGGCAGTTGATGCTTCGGACCTTGCAAAGATACCTTGTTTCAGTGAATTTCGCCATCAGATGAAAAGAATTGCGGACCCGATATGATGTTTGTCGAGCAATTATCGCCGGGGTTTTCCTGATTCTTTCAAGACTTCTTTCCCGATCGGGTGGCTTTATTTCGGGTTTATTCAAGCATCATGTCGCATCAGGAAATTGTTTTTTTCGGAGGTTGCAAAGCGGTCGGTTTTTTAGCGAGGTCGGATTATTCTGTCCTTTTCGAGCGTCTGGTTTTTTTCATCCGGAGGTATCCCCAGGTA